CTGCAACCCTCATTCCATACTCTTACGATAAACACAATGCCCTAAAATATAAATTATTCTCTCCCTCATAGACTTCAATGCAGTAAACATCATTTATCCAGTTTTTCTCAGTCTTATCCCCACCCCGATGTCATTCTACAACAGTGGCACCATATAGCATTTGTCCCTTTGTGACTGAGATATTTCACTCAGCATCATGAGTTCCTTGTTTTTCAATGCAGTGTAGTATTCCATTGCGTGAATATGCCACAGCTTCTCTACCCATTCGTTTGTTGATGGGCACTTAGGTTGTTTCCAACTCCTTGCTATTGTGAACAAAGCCATGATAAACATGGGTATGCATATATCTACTTAGATGTTGTTTATGGTCTCTTTAGGGTATATTCCCAGTATGGAATTGCTGTGTCAAATGGTATCTCAATTTGCAACTTTTTGAGAAAGCGACACACCACTTTCCACAGTGGTTGCACCATTTTACACTCCCACCAACACTGAATAAGGGTTCCAGTCTCTCCACAACCTCGCCAGCATTTGTTGCTTGCTGTTTGGTTAATTTTTGCTAGTCTTACTCATAGTTGTCTTGATTTGCATCTCTCTCAGAGCTAGGGATTTTGAACATTTCTTCATGTGCTTGTTGGCCATCTAAATGTCTTCTTTGGTGAAGTGTCTGTTCATATCCTGTGCCCATTTTTCTATTGGATTATTTATTTACCTTTATCTTGTTGGGTGCTCAAGTATTTTATAAATTCTAGATATAAGCCCCTTATCTGACATGTCATTACCAAACACTTTTTCCCAGTCTGTGGCTTCCCATTTTACCCTGTTGGAGAAGTTTCTGGATGCGCACAGGGATTTGATTCTTAGAAGGTCCCATTCATTTATTTTATCTTCTCCTGGTTGTAAATTTTTCAGAATACTTGGAAGACTCTTTATGTTGTGGATTAGGACTACTAAAATTCTTCCAAGCTTTTCTTTAATGAAGTTTATAGTCCTTGGATTTAGTCCTAAGTCCATGATCCACCTTGAGTTGGTTTTTGTATATGGAGTGAGGTGGGGATCTTATTTAATTCTTCTGCAGATTGTTTTCCAATTTTGCCAACACCATTTGTTAAAAAGGCTAAAAAAAAAAATTAAAGAAAGGCTGTCATTTCCCCACCTAACTGATTTTATCTCCTTGTCAAAAATCAGTTGACCATAAATAGATGGGCTGATTTCTGGGTTCCCAATTCTTTTCCATTGATCTATGTGTCTGTCATTGTACCAGTACCATGCTGTCTTAACGACCATGGCAGTGTAGTAGGATTTTAAATCAGGGAGTGAGATGCCTCCTACCTTTTTTCTATTTTTAAGGAATGCTTTGCTTATTTGGTGCTTCTTTCGTGCCTTTAGGTTTTATACCACCAGATGAATATCCGCTTCTCCCATTGTACAGTCTGTAAACCCCTACCATCCTTTATCTAGCTCCTAGAGAGAAGAAATTATTTCAGATGACTAGAGATTAGCTGTAGGTCAGTTCACACACAAAAGAGAAATCCCAAATACCATGTTCAAGTGGGTTTGATTTTCCTTAATGCTGTTGCCATAGTCCATGTTAAGCTCATTTAAAGGATTTTGTTGTGAGTGTAGTTTCTCCAACTTCTGCTTCCTTTCCTATCTCATCCCCTTCCCAAATGGCTTGGATATTAAATTGTCATTCATTCTTCTTTTATACTATCAGAATTCTCATTCACTTAAGATCTCTAAACTCAAGAGCAAATTTTTAAAAATTTTTTATTTTAATTGATATTTTAATAAACATTTATAGAGAACTTGTGTTTCCATTCATACATTGTTGCAATTTCCCTCCCTACCCACACCCCCAGTTCACTTTTCTCTTTGAAAAAAAATTCTTTCATTGTTGCACAATTCCCCTCCCCCCCAGTCCACTTTGCTATGCAGCTCATATTCTGGACTTTTGTCACGCAAATATACCTAATCCTTTTAAAGAGTTCTTTCCCTTATCTGTTTCAGTGCAGTGTATATTATTTATCTCTGCTTTTCTTAAGTTCTCCCCAACCTCCCTATAATAGTGGCATTATGCAATATTTGTTCTTTTGTGACTGAGATATTTCACTCTGCATAATGTCCTTCCGGGTCACCCATTTTGTATAATATGAGTTCCTTGTTTTTTAGTGCTGCATACTATTTCATTTTGTGAATATATCACAACTTCTCTATCCATTCATTTACTGATGGGCACTTAGGTTTATTCCATCTCTTTGCTATTGTGAACAACACAGCAATAAACATAGGTGTGCATTTAAGAATAAAATTTTAAGTTACTTCATTGTACTGTTGATTTCTTCTCTTAAGGCTATCCTGCCAGTGTTTGCTTTTTAACTCAGTGAATCTCAATATTGTAAGTAAGTGAACAAGTCACATAATTTAAGGTCGGTCACACAGTGAATTAGACATTTCAGAAAAAGCCTCAGTGATTTTCTCAAATTTTACATGAAGTATTCCAGCACATTTTATGAGATAGTGTAAAAAGGCTTTTGACTGATAGAAAACTTTTATACATAGTTATTTTATATAGTACAAACACTACTTGAAGTCTGCTATGGTGCTGAATGGTAATTGTTATCCCTAAGGTTTTCGTTGGTTGATTTTGGGAAGTAGGTTACCAGACCTTTCTGTCCTGTCTGCCTTAGTCTGGAAGCTCCTTAGAAGCGAGGGTGGTAAAACTTCAGCTCACTTTGAGCATGTCATCAGGAAAGACAAATTGCTAGAAAACATGATGCTTGATAAAGTTGAAGTTGGAAAGCAAAAGCAGCCCCCAGTGAGGTGGATTGGCATTCTAGCCACAATGGACTCAAACATACCATCAGTCATGAGTATGGATGGTACAGGTCCAGGGAACATTTCATTACATTGTATTTACATCAGGTTGTCCTGAGTCAGATGTGACTTAACAGCAACTGACAACAACATGATGCTTACTAAGACAGAATAGAAAGAGAGGCCTGGAAATATACTTCTGAGAAGTCAACTGAGTGAAAGCCCTCTTAATCACAACCTGTTGTGCTTGAGGTTGGGGACCAACTTGTTGACAACAACAATCACTGAGTAAAATTGACTTGTATCACAGTTTTTCTATGTCTGGTTCACACAGCCTAGTCCGCACACACCAAATTCAGTTGGCTAACTACTACTTAGTTTTTTCTATCCAGATATAAGGCTTCTATTACTTGGAACAAAAGATACAGATGAGACCGCCACCTGTCTCCCAGATGAGGTGGGTAGGAAAGAGCAGAAAGTTCCTGGACAAATCTCAAGGCTTGCTTTGAGCTTCCATTACCCATTCATTTTTCTGTGGAGTTTGTTTCACCCCCTAACCTTCTGCAATTTAACCCAATTTTTAAGATGTAGCAAGGCAGATGGAGAAGAAGAAATAAAGTAGAAGAGAACTATTACAGTATTCTTCTTTGTCATCTAGTCCTGTACAGTGTACTATAATTCCCACTCTTGATTACTTGAAATATAATCCAGCAGAACTGAATTTTCATTTAAATTTTAGAACTAAAGGAGTATTAAAAATATCTTTTCTTTTGAACTTCGTTGTAGGTCTAGATGTTATTGAAATTCTTGATTTAACTCCTGAAGTAAGATGTGCAATAAGTTTAATAGGGACTACTGTGGCATAGTCTGTAGCAATTGTACTGCTTATCCAAAGGCTGCACCTCCCAGCAGCTCTGAGGGAGAAAGATGAACTGTCTCCTCTGATGCAGTTTAAACCTCAGAAACCCAACAGAAGATCAGCAATGAGTTGATTCTGACTTGGCAGCAATAAGTCAAGTTACAAGTGTGAAAAATCAAATTTCAAAGACTTCGTATGAAAAAGAAGAAAGTAAAATAATCCACTACTAAGTTTTGTACTGATTCCATGTTGTATTTTGTTTATGCTCATAAAATATTCTATTAAGATGTATTTCACCTGTTTTTTAAAAATCATATCATGTGGCTCAAATTATGTTGGACGGTGCTCATCTGGCCTCAGTACATCCAATGTTATTTTCCCTTCCTCAGCATGGAAGTTTCTGAGGGTCAGGAAGGAGAATCTTTGAACACCAAGGGAGGCATGGCTACCAGGGTCACTGTGAGTGATGGATTCAGAGGTTCTCATTAGGGTCTTAGACTTGTTTCTGGCTTTGTTCATATTTCTGCTTCCCCATTTGCCTTAGACATACTATAATCACAAAAGTAATGTTAATTATAATAATTACGTTTATTATTCACCGTCAAATGTGATCATATTTTTGCATATTATTAAATATTGATCTATTAATTTTCAAGTTCATTCAATAGTAATGCTACATTAAGATATTATTAGCCACTCAGCATAGTCACAAACTCATAAAAAATTAGAAGAGTTCATGAGACTCTCACATATATTTCTATGCTAGAAATCTTTTTACAAATGCTTATTAAGTATATTTTTAATACATAAAAAATTACAAATAAGCTTTTGTTAGAATGCTGTTACTTTTAAATATAATAGTACTTAATACTGATAATAATTAAGTTGAAGAAAGGTTTTTCTTGTTCTAGAAAAATCTGAAGTGACATAACACAATAAAATATAAAATGGTATTACTGTAAAATCACAATTTAAAAACTATCAGGAAAAAAAGGACTATCACAAATAGATTACAGACTCAATATCATTTCTATAATTAACTTCCAGATTTGGTTTTGAGTTTCTTAGGAGTGGTATACATACTTTTATTTTCTAGTTCTTAGTATTTCGGAACAGAAAGTATATCAGTCAGCTACCCAATAGGTTTTCCTAGCATTAAATTCTGGAAGTAATTTCTTATCTTAGTTACTGTCACATCATTTTAATAGAAAGGTCAATAAATTTTTCTATTAAAGCATTTTGTGGCATCATTTTGTTAGTTATTTTATGTAGACATGCTTAAGAATGTGACAAATAATTTTATGTTTTATTTTTGTAGGAATCTTGGGACATCAAAATGAGACACAATCAGATGTGTTGTGAGACACCGCCAACTGTCACTGTTCATGTCAAATCAGGGTCAAATAGATCCTACCAACCTAAAAATCCCATTAATCTGAAGCGTCCTATGTTTAAAGATAGTTGGCAAGCACCTGAAAAAACTGCACAGAATAACAAAACTAAACGCCCCAAAGGACCTTGTCTGGTCATACAGCGTCAGGAAATGACTGCTTTCTTTAAATTATTTGGTAGGTTTCAAATATTTTCATACTTAAGATCATCGTGAAGTACTTGATTAGAATGTAAAAATATTTCACAATTTTTACAGTAATAAAGAATGGGCTAATTTCCTATATATGACCATATTTCTTGCTGTTTTAATTCTCTCTTTTTTAAAAAAAAGTTGGATTTTGGTTTGTTTGCTTTTGTATTAAAATGAAAATTTATCTAAGTTTTCTAAGACTACTTCATTTAGATATAAATGTTGGCTAATTTAAGTTCTTAGCTGTGTTTTGTTTTACCTAAAGTAAGCCATACGTAAGACTTGACTAAGCCAGCTGACTCAGTTTGATGGGATCTGAGGAGTTTCCTTATAACTTTCAGTGTTAAATAGAGCATGCAGGAATCTGGGTCACCCTAGAGAAGTTTATTACAGACTGGGAATATGGTTAAGCAGGATTAACTATCCTTTGTCATAGTCATCTAATGGCATTGGGTTTAAATGTGTTCAGATTATCAGATTATGCTACTTTTCTGATAAACTACAAATGACAAAAGGGAAATGTCTTTGTAAACTTCCTACTGGCCAAGAAAAAGAATTTGTTATTTCGGTAAGAAAATAGACAATAACAGTATAGAATTGTTTAGAACTAGGGAAGGAGAATGAACCAACTCAAGTAGAAACACGATCTGATAGATCCTTGTAACAACCATTCTTAAGTAATTAATTGCTTTTATTTTGAATTGCACCAATTTCTTTGTTCTTAAGACCAACGGATGACTTCTATCCTTTAAAGATTGAGAAAATAATAGTTATTACATAGAGAGTGAGGAGTTAGCTGTTCTTTCATCTTTATCAGTAAATAAGATTTCAACTATAAATTCACAATCTAATGTTTTATTAAACCATATTGACAATATGTAGATAGTGCTCAGGATGATTTTTTAAATTACTTTATCAAACCTGGCCCTACCAACAACAACAAAAGATGATTTTTAGGTTTTAAAGATAGTAGGGATAATGAGGTGTATAGTTATGAATGTATTTTCTTGGGTAAATGAAAGTTTAATGGCATTAGTATGGTAGATGAGTTCTTCTCGGTGTGTAGTAATGAATCTATAAAGGGTATATAGTACAATAAATAGTATTTTAATACCCATTAGACTTACTGAGAAGTTAGATCCTGAGAATAATGAGTTCAGCTTATGAAGAGTTTTTTAACAAGATTAAATGTGAAAGGGTAAGTTCAGGTTTGGTACACTAGTTAAAATTCATCATGCTGGTGTAAGGATGAGTATTTGTAGGTCTCAGGCTAATGTCATAGTTCACTATGGATGCATGAGTAGCAGTTGGAATTAGCAAAGCAAAAGAGCATAGGGGAGGTTAAGCCTTGGACAGCTGTTCAGGCAGTGGTGCCTATGAAGTTTAGGATGAAGAAAAATGGACAGTCTCCTATTCAGGAGACCTGACAGAATTGCTGTGAGTTGGAATTGACAGCAGTGAGCGCTTTTATGTGGCTAACAGATGAGTTAGGAAGTTATGCTGGTCTAGGGGTAAGAATTTGCGCTGCTATCCCAAAGGCAGCAGATTCTAATCCATCAGCTGCTTCACAGGAGAAAGATGAGCAATCTCCTCCCATTCAGCCTGTGAAAACTGCTTGGCGGGTCAACTATGAGTTGATTCCAACTCACTGGCACACAGCAGCTGATGAACGGTCCATCAGTGATTGTAGGTCTGTTTGATTAGGCAAGTTGGAGCTTGTTAAAATTATCCCTAGGGAGAGTATGGAGAATGGGTAAACTATCCTATCAGTTAGGGAGTCTAGTAGGAGTGAGTTCGGGACAAGAGTCTTTGAATCACAAAGAGAACAAAAAGCAAAGTGAAGAAAGAGGGGGAAAGAATGTATACAAACAAACTTGCTAAGATTTTTTTTTTAAAAAAGGAAAATGAGATAACATTAAAATAAAAATGAGAAAAATATTTAAGGAATATAAATAGTAAAATATTGAGCTATATAGATATTCGTTTTATGGTCTACAATATTGTTAATAGAAGTTCTTTTCTCATTATGAAGAGTAGAACAAAATTAATACCGTTAAGTTAGAAAGGAGAGAAAATAGCTAGCTCTGCCTTTGTAGGTCAGTTAAGAAATGGAAATGGATGGGCGCGCGGGACGGGGTAAGGCCGGGTGCGCGGCGCGGCGCGGGAGCGCGCCAGCGGCGGCTGCTGGGGGGCGGGGAGCATCTGCCGAGGCGACGGTGGCGGCTTAGGCACCGCGACAGGCGGTGGCGGCTCCGGCTCCTCTTGGTGAAGCTCGGCGTGCGGCCAGCTCTCGAGTTGGGGACGGAACACTTGGCGTTGCAGGCCCCCCCCGGAAAGTTTGCAGCGAAGCTGCGATCTCCTGGCACGCGCGGCCCGGCATGAAGCGGCGCTAAGGAGCCGCTGCCGCCGCCGCGCCTCCTTGAGGAGCAGTCGCAGCAGCTTGGGCCACGCCGATGACTGCTGCAAACTGTGGCGCCCACGACGAGCTCGACTTGAAACTCGTCTTCGGTGAGGACGGGGCGCCGGCGCCGCCGCCTCCGGCCCCGCGGCCTGCAGATCTTGAGCCAGATGATTGTGCATCCATTTACATCTTTAATGTAGATCCACTTCCATCTACTTTAAACTCGCCACATTGCTTACCACATCATGGATTACCGTCTCATTCTTCTGTTTTGTCACCATCGTTTCAGCTCCAAAGTCACAAAAACTATGAAGGAATTTGTGAGATCCCTGAGTCTAAATACAGCCCATTAGGTGGTCCCAAGCCCTTTGACTGTCCAAGTATTCAAATTACATCCATCTCTCCCAACTGTCATCAAGAAATAGATGCTCCTGAAGATGACCTGCACATAAATGACCCAGAAAGGGAATTTTTGGAAAGGCCATCTAGAGATCATCTCTATCTTCCTCTTGAGCCATCCTACCGAGAGTCTTCCCTTAGTCCGGGTCCTGCCAGCAGCATCTCTTCTAGAAGCTGGTTTTCAGATGCATCTTCTTGTGAATCTCTTTCACACATTTACGATGATGTAGACTCAGAGTTGAACGAAGCCGCTGCTCGATTTACTCTTGGATCTCCTCTAACTTCTCCTGGGGGTTCTCCAGGAGGCTGCCCTGGAGAAGAGTCCTGGCAACGACAATATGGAGTAGGACACTCCTTGTCACCCAGGCAGTCTCCTTGCCACTCTCCTAGATCTAGTATCACTGATGAGAATTGGCTGAGCCCTAGGCCAGCCTCAGGACCCTCAAGGCCCACTTCCCCCTGTGGGAAGCGGCAGCACTCCAGTGCTGAGGTTTGTTACGCTGGCTCACTTTCACCCCATCACTCTCCAGTTCCTTCTGGTCACTCCCCCAGAGAAAGTGTAACAGAAGATACCTGGCTCAATGTTTCTTCTGCCCAGGGTGGATCAGGCCTTGGCCCTACGCTTGTTCCATTTCAGTACTGTGTAGAGACTGATATTCCTCTGAAAACAAGGAAGACTTCTGAAGATCAAGCTGCCATACTACCAGGAAAATTAGACCTTTGTTCAGATGACCAAGGAAATTTATCACCATCTCGGGAGACTTCAATAGATGATGGCCTTGGATCCCAGTATCCTTTAAAGAAAGATTCATCTGGTGACCAGTTTCTGTCAGTTCCTTCACCCTTTACTTGGAGCAAACTAAAGCCTGCCCATACCCCTATATTTCGCACATCCTCATTGCCTCCACTAGACTGGCCTTTACCAACTCATTTTGGACAATGTGAACTGAAAATAGAAGTGCAGCCTAAGACTCGTCATCAAGCCCATTATGAAACTGAAGGTAGCCGAGGGGCAGTAAAAGCATCTACAGGGGGACATCCTGTTGTGAAGCTCCTGGGCTACAGTGAAAAACCGATAAATCTACAGATGTTTATTGGGACAGCAGATGATTGATATTTGCGGCCGCATGCATTTTACCAGGTGCATCGAATCACTGGGAAGACTGTTGCAACAGCAAGCCAAGAGATAATAATTGCTAGCACAAAAGTCTTGGAAATTCCACTGCTTCCTGAAAACAATATGTCAGTCAGTACTGACTGTGCAGGTATTTTGAAACTTCGCAATTCAGATATAGAACTTCGAAAAGGAGAGACTGATATTGGCAGAAAGAATACAAAAGTATGACTTGTGTTTCGTGTACACATCCCACAGCCCAATGGAAAAGTGCTTTCTCTGCAGACAGCTTCTATACCTGTTGAATGCTCTCAGCGGTCTGCTCAAGAACTTCCTCATATTGAGAAGTACAGTATCAACAGTTGTTCTGCAAATGGAGGTCATGAAATGATTGTGACTGGATCTAATTTTCTTCCAGAATCTAAAATCATTTTTCTTGAAAAAGGACAAGATGGACGACCTCAGTGGGAGGTAGAAGGGAAAATAATCAGGGAAAAATGCCATGGGGCTCACATTGTCCTTGAAGTTCCTCCATATCATAACCCAACAGTTACAGCTGCAGTGCAGGTGCACTTTAATCTTTGCAATGGCAAGAGGAAAAAAAGCCAGTCCCAACGTTTTACTTACACACCAGTTTTGATGAAACAAGAACACAGAGAAGAGATTGACTTATCTTCAGTTCCATCTTTGCCGGTGCCTCGTCCTGCCCAGACCCAGAGGTCTTCATCAGATCCAGGGCACCCACATGATAGTGTTTTGCCAGCACAGAGAAGTTTGGTTTGTCCCGTCCAGCAAGCATATGCATCAGTGGTAACCTCCTCCCATCTGCCACAGTTGCAGTGTAGGGATTAGAGTGTTTGTAAAGAACAGCATATGATTCCTTCTCCAGTTGTGCACCAGGCTTTACAGGTCACACCTACACCTCCTGTGGGGTCTTCCTATCAGCCTATGCAAACTAATGTGTACAATAGACCAACTTGTCTTCCTATTAATGCTGCCTCTAGTCAAGAGTTTGATTCAGTTTTGTTCCAGCAGGATACAGCTGTTCCTAGTTTAATAAATCTTGACTGTCAACCACTGTCATCCATACCATTTCATTCTACAAATTCAGGCTCAACAGGACACCTCTTAGCACACACACCTCATTCTGTGCAGACCCCACCTCATCTACAGCCAATGGGGATATCATTGTTCAAATGTAGGACAAAGGTCTCTTTCTTCTCCAGTGGCTCACCAAGTCCCAGGGCAGCCATCCTCTCAGTTACAACGCATTACATATGGTTCTTCACATTCAGGGTCTGCTACAACAGTTTCCCCAGCAACTTCTCATCCCCTGGCCAGTTCACCACATTCTGGGCCACCGTCTCCTCAGCTACAGCCTATGCCTTACCAATCTCCTAGCTCAGGAACTGCCTCATCACCATCTCCAGCCCCCAGAATGCATTCTGGGCAGCATGCAACTCAAGCACAAAGTACAAGCCAGGGAGGTCTTTCTGCACCTTCAACCTTAATGTGTCACAATTTATGTGATACAACTTCATTTTCATCTGACGGGGCAACTGTGAGCATTAAACCTGAACCTGAAGAATGAGAACCCAACTTTGCAACTATTGGTCTACAGGACATCACTTTAGATTATGTGAATGAGATCATTGGGAGAGACATGTCCCAGATTTCTGTTTCCCAAGGAACAGGGGTGAACAGACAGACTTCTCTGCTGGGTCCTGAGACCCTTGATTCAGGAAGATCCGACGAGCTCTGACAGTTCTCACTGCAGCTTTGTGTGCATCTGTGTCTCTCCTCACACCTGCTGGACTTCAACTTCCAGGACTAACATCAAGTTCAGAACACCATCCATATACTGCTTTATGGTCATCTGAAGGCCTTCAGCAGTCCTCTGCCTCAGGCCTTGGGGTAGATTTTGTATAAGAATAAGGAACAGCATTGGCTGTTCGAGTCTTGAGGAGATGAACCTTTTGCTTTTCGTATTTAAATAGGATAATTTTATATGATGGGTGCTTTTGAGTGTGATTGCAGCAGACTCTCCATTTCTGAGATGGCTGCTTTTGCAGGTGACCTGGTTATTTAGCTAGGATTGGTTATTTGTATGCTTTATGGTCATTTGAAGGGCCTTTTAGCTTTGGTAATATTTTTTAAAATAAGAACTTTTGATAAAAATGTCCAGAGGCAAACAAAGGAAAAAAAATTATCCCATACCCATACCTATGCCTCAGAAACTCAGCATGTGCCCTGAAGCCTTTTATAGATTCATAGGAAGTAAAGCCAAACGTAGCTCATACCTCTTTATAAAAGTAAACTGTTAGATAGAATGAGAAGTGACCATTCCATCATTGAAGTGTTGGAATATAAAGACATTCCAGAGTGTAGCCTTTTTTGTAACTTTCTAGGTAACCTTGCAGTCTCTCCATACTGGCGCTGTATTGAAATGGCTTTTTCCCTTAGGTCTTTGGGTAACATGGCTGCACATAAGGGGACTTTGAAAGGTGGGTTCTTGCTTGGTAGCTTTCTTTTCTTGCCATCTTAGAAACAGGTGGGCTGTGCAGTACTGTTTGTGTCCTCTGGTCGCAGAATGTTTCCCAGGTTAGAACACCCTTTGTCTATTCTGTAGCCATTGAAGCCACAGCCTCACTATAGTTTAGGCAATTTTGCTGGTTCTAACTAATTTCTAGATGCCAGGGGACGTCAGGACTAAGCACAAATAACTCTGCTTCAGACCAGGAGCAGGGGAAAAAAACAACATAGGACTCCCAAGGGGAAGGTTTGAAGATTCACACTGGCAATGAAAGGCTTATTCCCCATTCTGTTTACAGCCTGAAATGACTTTGGCCTACGCTCACCTGTCTGCATGGCCTAGAAACCAGCTTTTTCTCAAAAAGGCTTTGAGGCAAACCTAAAAATGAGGTGAGATAATAGACCCAACCATCCACACCAAAGATGCCCTGGTGCTGCTGCTGGTAAGGCTGGCACCCCAAACGGGGGCCAGCGAAAAATGCCAGCCTGCTGTCTACCAAAGGAGGTACCCACGGTGGGTACCTTTTCCAAACCCTGCCTTTACCCCTGCCCCCTCCAAGGCCTAGGCTTCTTTTAAAGCCCCTGAAATTTGCAGCATGCTCTTAAATGAAATAGTGTACATTCAGTTATTCAGGAAACAACTTTATTGAGTGTTCACATGTGAGGCCGGCCATAAGGCTGGCTGCAGTCTTGGCACTATTAACTCAAGATTGTAGCCCTTTCTTGTCAGGGCTCTACACAGCCTGTGAGGCCTGGGCTGAAGGAGCCAGTCTGTCGCCCACCTTTAGTCAACCAGATGGAAGCTGTTGACCGAGGATGAGGCCATAAGGTCTTTCTTTTTCTTTTTGAAACCATGTTTTAAATTTATCTCTTGAAACTAGTTAGAGACAAAGGTCTTTCAGCAAATTACTTTCATCCCTCTTAGAGCTTTTGTTTTCCTTTTTTCTTTGAAAGTTATTATGTGTATCAAAGTGTGGATAGTGAGATTTGCTTTAGAGCCTGTTGTAGGAAGCCTGCAGCTGCCTTGGCCCAGATTAGGCGCAGGGGGCTGGCCTTTCTGATAAAGTTCTAGGAAGATGAACAGACTTGCCTCCTTCCTCCTGTCCCTGGCCTAGCTGCCTCACCTTCAAGGTTCTTGAAGACCTTTGGGGGTTGCTCTGCTACCCTCAAAAATAAAAGCCTTTATGATCCAGAGTTGCTATGCACCAAGTTTTGATGCCTTTTGAATACCTTGATGCCTCTAGCACTAGAAATGCTTTCCTATTTAAAATAAAAAGTCAACTTAAAAAAAAAAAGAAATGGAAATGGAATTAGCAGGGTAGAAATTGATTCTCATTGTAGAGTGGATTATATTTGGGGCTAGGGGGTGGGGTTTGGGGAGGTGGGGGGGGGGGGATTGTGTACCAATGAGGGAGTTTTTCTTTTGCTTTTCAAGGAGAGGAGCAAATGGGGGGGGAGGGGGGGTTTGTGCGGGGAGAAGGGTGCAACAATGAATGAATGGAATCCCAAAATCTCTGTAGATGTTCATTGAAATGAAAAATAAACAACCTAAATTAAAAAAAAAAAAAATTGATTCTCAGATAATCAGTAAGTATTGTTCTTAGGACTTTCTAGAGAATAAAAATCAATATAAAGGTATACTTTGTTATTTAAGATGAAAGGAATAAAAGAAAAAGGTTTTCCAAGACTGGTCTAATTACCAATATATTTTAACCCTTTAAAATTGCAATAAAAGTTTTTGGATGTTACTAGTTTTCTAACGCTTTGTTGATCTTTCTGTCACTCAGTTTTCCAAAATAACTATAAAGTAATGTAAAGTAACTATAAAGTTAACTATAAAGTAATGAATTGTGAACCTTTTTACATCATTATTTTCATATTTATTCAAATAATAGTGAACTAGAGATAATCCAAAATTTAAAATACCATGGAGCCTAAAAGGAAAAAGGAGTAGAAAAAATATCTACTTAGAAAACAGTATTCATTAAATTATTGTGTCTCAAAACCTTAGTTATCCTTTACTAGGTTTCATTTCCACTTGTAAAGATTAATCTGGGGGAGGAATGAAGAACTAGTGCATTGTTAACCAAGACGGCAATTCTCAAAGTAGGTAGTAAATAAATACTTTTACTATTTTTCCAATCTGAGGAATTATTATATAATAAATACAAGTGTTACAGGCAAGTCAGATGGGAAATGAAGACGATGGTGGTAGGTTTTTTGTACAATGCTTGCAATAGTAAATACATTAAAGAATTGAAAATCAACTTAGATAACAGAAGTACATTCTTTTATCTTTGATCTCTAAATATCATTCATAATCTTCTTACATAGAAATTAATGTTTCAAAGAGAAACATTCTGTTTTAAAAAGACAAGTTACAGCTATTTTTTGTTGTAGATGACGATTTAATTCAAGATTTCTTATGGATGGACTGCTGCTGTAAAATTGCAGACAAGGTAAATTTAGTAACATGATTAACTAGTTTTTTGTTACTGAGTCATCAGAACTTTACCAAGACCTTTTAAGAATGTTCTAATTCAGTTTAGAGAAAGAACTAGTCTGGATTATGCCTTCAAACTAGAATCCTTACATACTAACTTTTAAAATTAACATACACCAGAGATTCATTCTGTATTTGAGAAATGCAAAAGAAATTGTACCTCATTCATACTTGTTTCTATCTTTGCTATTATAAATTCTGTGGTCATGTGGCCTGATGTTGCTGATTAGATGTAAATGCCTTTTGACCTATATTTGTTTAATTGCAATACAGAAACTAAAAAAGTATTGAAAGAATCAACCTACCCTTAATATCAGTTGTCATCAGGTTTCAGAGAAAGAATATTCTGAGAATACTTGAACTAAGGCTATTTTACATAGTAAAGTTTAAGATTGTATTAAGGAGTTAAAACAAATCCCAGTAATCCTGAAAAATTCATTTAATAAGTTCTTTTTAATGACAATGTGGTCATACTAGAAAATTCAGTATGAGTTCACACCACACCATTCGGTGGCCACCTACAAAAGGAATGAACAGAAGGATGGCTTGTGATTAAATAATAAGTTATGTTGATACGAACATTTTTATCTCGACGTTGAGATGGCAAAGATAAAATTCAAGGTGATTTTAAAAAGTTGGAACATTTCAAACACAACTTAGAACAAAAACTCTCAATGTGTGCCTATCATTTGACCACAGCTCTCAGCTTTTGGCCGTTCTTCCAAGCATTCTTAATTTTGTCAGTAATTATTTACTGTTGTGTCTCTAAAATATATAGGCTCTTTTAAAACAATCACATGTCACTATTACTTAAAAAATGAATAATAATGCTTAAATTTCAAATACCCACTTTATGTGGAGTTTTAAAAACAAAACGGTCGTGGTTGAAGAGCATGTCAGGAATTAAAACTTTTGGACAGCAGGGGGCAGTGTTGGAAAATGACTAATTGGGAGTAGGACATTTTAACATTTTTTTTATAGTCCTGGAAACTTTTTACCCCCCCATTACTTCATTGTTGCACGTTTCTCCATTGTTGCCCCCCCCAGTTTGCTCTTCTTTTTGAAAAGTAAAATAAAAATTCACTCATTGCTATACAATTCCTCCTCCCAAATCCACTCCATTACATTTTAACACTATTTCAAGAGCCCATAACATGGAAGTTTACCTGGAAAACTTAGAATCATCTTAGTGGAAATAAATTATTGATATAGATAAATTATTTCTATAGAGACTCTAATGTAAAATAAAACTTATTACTTATTATTATTTATAATTGTCAGACTCAGAATATCCTAATCAATAATACCAAACAAGACATGTATTTTTAAAATGCATTTAAAATATACTACTCCAATTTCGGATTAGAGGATTTTTAAAGAAGATTAAATGGTTCTAAACCTCAAAAAGTTTCTAAACCACAATAGGTTTAGAAATAAATATGTGTTTGTATACACCAAGCAAAAAAGATGATCTCTGTGGATGGATGGATAAATAGATAGATATAGATATGCACCCATACACCCACATATATGCACATACATATGCATATCATATATATATACATAGAAGGAGAAAGGTGGGATATATATACATAGGGAGAAAGATGAGCAATATATATGTATGTGTTGTTATTATGTACCTTCAAGTCACCTGCGACTCATAGTGACCCTATGTATAACAGCTCTGAAGTCTGACCTACTCTGAGCCAGTCTCACTGACTCTGCATACCCCATTTCACCAGTTACTGTATCAATCCATCTCATCCAGGGCCGTCTTCTCCTGCCCTGTTCCTCCACCCTCCCAAAGATGATGTCCTTCTCCAAGGACTGGTCCCTCCTGGCCATGTATATACATATGTACACAAACATGTATATCATAAAGTTAAAATGCTGTTAGGGACCTCTCCAAAGGACTGAAGAGCAGTAGTGTCACTGTGGAGACTAAAGTGTGCCCAATACAGACCATGGTCTTTGCAATCACTTGCTATGCATCAGAGAGCTGAACAGTGATCAGAGAAGACAGAAGGAGAATTGATGCCTTTGAGCTGTGGTGTTGAAGAAGAACATTGAATATACCATGCACTGCTAAGAAAGCAAACAGGTTCATCATCCTAGAGAGGGTTAAACTTGTCTGCTCCTTGGGGGCAAGGATTCTGAAACTTCATCTAACATACTTTGGACATGTTGCAAGGAAGGGCCAGTCCTTAGAGACATCATGCTTGGGAGAGTGGAGGGAAAGCACAGAAGAGGAAGACCCTCTATGAGGTGGATTGATTTAGTGACAGGTAATTGGGGTAGGTGTGTCGGAAACAGTGAGGTTGGCACAGGATAGAGCAGGGTTTAAGGCTGTTGTACATAGAGTTGCTAAGAGTCGCAGGCAACTTGACAGCACATAACAACAACAACATAAAGAATGTATGGTTTCTCATTTCACTATTCCAACTTCTACGTAGTTTTGAAATTTAAGTTAGGAAACAAAATTAGTGTTAAGAAGTAGTGGCAATAATAAGATTTAAGAGTTCATCTAGTTACAGTTTTATTATCAGTTGTCAAGAACTCACATAAATCGCAAGAAATAAAAAAAGCAGTCAAATGGGTGACTATAATAAAAAATAAATTACTAAGTGATTTTTTTGGTTCCTCAGAAATTTTAAAAGTTAACTATTTTAATTTAGTTTTAGTTACTAACAAAATAATTTATTCTTTTTTCTTTATAGTATCTTTTGGCTATGACCTTTGTTTATTTCAAGAGAGCTAAATTGACTATAAGTGAGCACACCAGGATTAATTTTTTTGTTGCTCTGTAAGTATACTTTCTACTAAGTGATTTTTTATGGTAGTTATTGATAATGCATATGTTATATCTTTTAGAAAACAGACCCATTGAAAACTTTATGTAATCTTCATATAGGTCTTTATATATAAAAAATTGATACTTTCTTACTTTAATAAGATACTTTATATATTCTTTTTAATAACCTTACTGTATTATATCCCTAATATTTATTATCCAATATTCATTCCATTGTGCTTGATAAAATTTTTTATAATTTTTATGCAAATTGACCCAGATTCATCTCTTTTATACTTAGATGTTGCATAAAAGATGGCATAATCTCTAAAATTTCCAGTTATTGCATAGTAAAAATCATCACCATCTTACACTGTTATAACAACCCATTCAGATCCATATAAATAAACATGTCTAATTGATAAAAAAATCATCACCATCATTGTCCTTTTAATGCAAAATGTTCAATGTAAACACCTTGTGGAAAATCCTGTCTACTTACTGTCTGTGAATTTATGTGTATGACATATGGCGTTCCCATTAGTATTCTCTATCAGTAGTAAACACACTGGACAATGCCAAAGGAATGTAAGTTATAGGAATATATAGAAGTGGTCTAGTGGGAAGAAGCTTCCCTGCAATCTTGAAGATGGACAGTTCAAATCCATCAGCTGCTCTATGGGAGAAGGATGGGCACTCTCCTCCTATGCATTTAACTGCCTCAGAAAACCCACTGGAGGGTCAGCTATGGGTCAGTTCTGACTCAGTGGTATACAATGAAAACATATATAAACTTCATATAGTTTATAGGAATATAGTTTTCTAATTCTGACACTGTATTAAGTAGTTCATATTAGATTTATGGTTTGTTAAATGGTTTTAATGCCATGGTTTTCTAATCAGTGGTTAAGAATCCTGCTAGAATAATGTAATTTAAGAATATGTTTCTATATGAATATAATGTCTGATTTGTTGGTAATTATTTTATTATAGTTTTAAATATTTAACTAGGGATCTACATTAAAAACCTATTTAAATTTAGTATCACAATAGGTGCCAGTCCTAAAGAACAATTTTTTTTGCTGAGATATATTTACTTCAGAATCAAAGAATTATTAAGTAGAATTGGAAGAAATTGATTTTTTCATTTGTTCAAATGATACATTTCTCAGTGAATATGGAAAAGCTAACTCAATATACTCACTTCTTCCAACAGATGCTCTGCTGGAGAAGGAGGGGGCAATCTCCTCCTGTACCAGTCAGATCTGATTTGACGGTACACGTAAAAATAATACAATAAAAATTAAAAAAATACTTCTTTCTTATTAACTTGCTTAGGTTACAAAGACCAGGTCTCTAGGTACATACTTTTAAAAAACAAGTATTTCTGCGGCCTCACAACCATGATCTCCCTTTCAAAGACGACAGTTAGTTTCATGTGTAGCTGTCCAGAATTGCTTTCTGTAGGTGAACTTCTCTGTATGGAAGAGAGAAATAGAAAGAAAAAGTAATTCTTTGTGTACCCCTGACTCATTTTAAAAGAATGTTGTCAGAACCAGAGAAGCTATGAGAAAACATTCCAGCCAGAGCCTCCTCCCTTTCAAAATATCTCTAGATGGTATTTTGTGCTTTCTATAAAAGAGTTGTTGTATTTTTCTTTGACAGCCTTCTTTTTTGCTTTTGGAAGCAGGAGTGGCATCCACTTCCTAAGCAACAAGCCTCCAGAAAACTCTATGACTTTGATAAATGTTGATAGTTATAGAAAGGCGCCAGGCCTTTTGTTCTGAGGGTCGCTATGAGCTGTGCTTGACTTGAAGACAATCAACACCACAACAACTTTTGCTTACAATGTGGCTTTGAGTTTCACTTTTATTAATATGTATAGATGTTGTTAATTTAATTTTAACAGTTGAATAATATTTTATTGTTGGTTATATATTTTACATTTTCCCCTTGCTGTCATATCATGTACTTTATGTTTGTTCTCCTTTTCCTCCTATTTCTTTTCTCATCCTCAATTTTATCTTCCCTTTGCCTGAAGTTTTTAATTTTCTTTTTGCCACATTTTCTCTCCTGTACTTGTTTAGAAATTATGCAGTCGATTGTATTTTCAATCATTTCATTTGGTTAAGGGTCTCAGCCAGACACAGTGACTGTAGCAGTGGACTCAAATATGTCAGACATGATGAGGATAGCACAGGATAGGACAGAATTCAAATCTGTTGTTCATAGGATCTCTGTGTGTCATACTCAATTTGATGGCACCCAATAAAAATAACATATTATATTAGCTATCTTCTTCATTGTTTTTATCACAAAAACCATTTGTATTTTAGTGCTGATCACCATTTCCCATTTAAAAATCTCTTATCCAGCAATTTTTGTCATTTCAGTTGATATCCTCCAACAAATTAGACAATGTTGTTTATATATTTAATATTTATTTAAATTTGCTCACATATCTATTATCTATGCTTCCCATTCCTCCTTTATTATTTTTTGTGTGTGTACCATCAAATCGGATCTGACTGGTACAGGCGGAGATTGCCCCTTCTTCTCCAGCAGAGCATCTGGTGGATTCGAACCACGCAGCTCTGGGATTGCAGTGCAGCTTCTTGCCACTAAGCCACCAGCACTCCCCTCCCATTCCTTCTTGCATCTGAAGCATTTCACTTAAAACTGTACAAAAAGTAGAGTTCCCAGACCTACTTCTTTCCCTGCAATGTGCAGCTCTGTTAATATCCTACATTTGTGTTGGTGTGGTGTTGGCTGCCTGCTGCAAGGTTGGCACTTCAAATCCAGCAGCTCCTCCATGGGAGAGAGAGGGGCAGTCTCCTCCTGTAAATATTCACTATCTCTGGGACCTATGGAGGGGGGCTATGAGTCAGATGTCTGTGAGTTGGATTAAGCTTGACAGCAATGGATTTTGCATTCATGTGATGCTCTTGTTAAAACTGATGAACCAGTATTGATATACTATTATTAAAATATGTGGTTTACATCAGGGCCTATTCTTTATGTTTTATAGGATTTCAAAGGATGCATAGTGTCATTGTGACCACCCTTACAGTGTCATACAAAATAATTTCACTGTTCTAAAAATGCCCTGTCATCCTTTCTTCCCATCCTCTGAACCTCGAATGACTGATTATGTTACTATCTCTACAGTTTTTCTGTTTGCTATTAAAACCTCTTTTTTTTTGATGTTTGGAATTTCTACTTTTTGTTACTAAAGCACTTGTTTCTTTTTTATATCATCAGTTTGATATTTAAAGGGTTTCATGGATTGAAGATTAGTCTTTAAATATTTCTTGGAGAAATGTTAAATACAGTCTCATCAACTATTTATCTTTTTTCATGAAATTCTGCTTAAACATGTCATATCTTATTATCTCTTTTTTTTAAAAAATGTATTTAGATTTAGTAAAAGTTTATAAAACATTTTGATTTTCCATTTACTCATGCATATGTATTATGTTCTATAACTTTGCCAAGCTGCCTTCCATAGTGATTAATCACCCCTGATTATCCAGAGGTGGTGTAATATCTAGTTTATTCTCTGTTGATTGTGCCAGTTTATGTTCCCACCAGCCTCTTTCCATACCCTCTCCAGCATTTGCTTTCTGGTCAAACATTGCCATTGTTGCCAGGGGTGAGGTAATATCTCATTATTTTTAATCATCTCTCTCTAATGCCTAATTAGGGCTCTGGTGACCTAGTGTAAGGAACTATTCTGCCAACCCGGAGATATGTGGTTTGAATCCTCCAGCTCCTCTGCAGGATCAGTATGGGCAGTCACCTCCAGTTTGAAAGTCCTCTGGAAGGTCAGCCATGACTCAGTTCTATCTTGACAGTACGTAACAACCACCACAACAATAGCTAATTATCTTGAGCATTTCTTCATGTATTTGTTGGTCTCCTGAATGATGTAGGTGAAGTGTCTTTTTCAGGGAGCTCTGGTGGCTTAGTGGTAAAGAGTTGTACTCCCAACCAAAAGGCAGGTGGTTCAGACTCACCAGCCATCCCACAGGAGAAAGATGAGCAGTCTCTTCACTTGCGATTAACTCCTTTTGTAATTGAGTTGTTTGGGTTACTTTTGTTGAGTCGTTGGCATTTTCTGTACATTTTAGAGCGGAGTCCCTTGTCAGATGTGCCATTGCCAAATATTTTTCTTCTATCTGTCAATTCTTTTTGTACTCTTTTGAACAAATCTTTTAATGCACATAAAGTTTTATTGAATTGTTAGGAAGTCCTAATCATCTAGTTTATTCTTTGTTGATTGTGTGTTTTCATTCACAGTGATAGTCTAAGGTTTGGCCACCTTTTTCTTTTATAACCTTTATAGTTTTAGGGTCCACAGGCAGGTCCTTGATCCATTTTGCTTTAGTCCTTTTCATTTTTCTGCAAACAGATACCTTGTTTTTCCAGTACCATTTATTAATGAGTCTATCTTCCCCCACTTAATTTATTTAAATTCTCTGTCAAAGAATAGTTATACAGGGATGATTTTATTACTAAGTTCTCAATTCTGTACTCTTGGTCCCAGCACCTGTCACTGGGCCAGTAACAAGCAAAGTGATTGTTGTGTCTGTGGAGTAGGTTTTAAAATCAGAGAGTAGAAAACTTCCTACTTTATTTTCCTTCTTCAGTATCTTTTTGCTTATCCAGTGTCTCTTTCCTTTCATGTAAATTTGGTCATTGCTTTTTCCATCTCTTTGAAAAATGGTGATGAGATCTGGATGAGAATCCAGGTGATGAGGTCTGGAGCTACATTGCATTTGTTGATGCTTTTGGTAGTATTGCCAAGTCCACAAAGCTAAGTCTTCCGATACATGAGCATAGTATGTTTTCTTATTTATGTATGTCTCTGGGTTTCTTGTAGTAGTAGTGTTTTGTAGTTTTCTTTGTATAGGTCTTTTACATTTATGGTTAGGTTTATTCCTAAGTATTTCATCTTTCGGATAACTATTTTAGAGGTATTGCTTTCCTAACTTCCTTTTCAGAGAACTTTT